GGGTTGTTTGGATTCTTCTGATTTGCTCGATTGTTCACAGCTGCTTGTCGTTGATCTTTTGGAGGACGTTGCCGGCCCTGACATTCTTGGTAGGCCGGATTGTTTGGATTCTTCTGATTTGCTCGATTGTTCACAGCCGCTTTGTCTTTGTCAGCTGCTTTGCCCCTCCTTGCGATCAAGTCTGACCCTCGGTGCTTGCTTGTTCGCCCATTTAAAAAGGGCGCAGTGAGTGTGAAGAAGAACCTAGGCAGAAGACAATACAGCACCAGCAGCAACATTCGGCGTTTTGTCGCCATTGAGCCCACCCCATTGGCGCTGGTCGCCATTGGGCGTCCGGCGTCCGGTGCAGAAAAAGCCGCCCAGGGATTGGGGATATAGAGGATCTGTCGTACAAGAGAAGCACTTTGGCCACCTTTAGGAACCATGTTGGAAGTATTGAGGCATGATAGGGCCATGTACTGTAGCGTCTTAGGTATCTAAGGACCATACGGATCAAGTTTCTTCACCCAAGAACGGTCACCCAACGTTCATCCTGGTTCAGGCGAGCTAAACTGGGGTCTCGGGTACACCAAGAAGAGCCTCCAGTCTGAGCCAATGTCTCGTCATATGTACTTGCCTGGGCCTACACCCTCCTATACGATCAGGAAAGGTAACTTGACACGAAAGACTTAAAGCTTCCCATATTCCGCCAAGCGCGGAATCACAATGACCGCCCTACCGTCTCCGCCCATCCCAGACCGTCTCCGCACCTCGTTTTCTGTGACCTCGCAGGGCCAATTGCTGTAGGTCTCCAGCAGTGCTTTTCGAGCCTGGCGGCAGCGCGGTCTCAGCGAGGGCGAAAGGCCACACGGCCGTACCAGTCACCAGGAAGCAGACAGCTCCGTTTGGCGACGTCGTCGAAAAGCGGGTATCGAAAAAATGAATCGATTGAGACAGCAAACACATCATGTACTGTGTCTGTGCTTTCCGGCGCCCGCAGCGAGGAAGTATCTGGCGCGCGATTCCAGAAAAGGAAACAACACGATGGAACGGAATGGTTCGTCTTTACAAACAGGATTGATATGTGAAACGAATGCGGTTGACTAATTTATGGATACCTTCCATTCGCCAATGTGAAACTGACCCTTTTGCCCAACCTCTTGGGGTCGATCTCCAACCCCAATGGCCAGTGGAGATGGTCGAAGCAGCTCCCACAAATATAGAGATCATGCAGACTGATTCAATCCAACCCTCACATCTAGAGGTTCTTCACCAAAAAGGGGGAGTGGTTCTTAGGTTCTCAAATCCAACCACCTACCTGCTGCTCCTTGGAACTGCTCCCCACCTTGAAGTGTCGGTCTTCGGGAGCACATTTGTAGCTCATGTACACCACGCCCCCCGTTGGGATGCTCAAGAAGGTCTCCCAACCTGAAGGCCGCTCGGCCACTCGAAAGCGATGTCCAACACCGGAGAATGCATTCTTGATATAACTCCAAATGCGGAGCCAAACACCACAACCACCATTCATGCACAACAGCGCCTTGGGTTTGAGAAGGATAGGGCAGAAAGGTTTGTTCTTTGAGCCCCAAGCTGGCCCGCGCCAAAGGCACATCTGCACTGTGTTCGGAGCTTCAGAGCTCAGGAAACGCGACTCGTTGTGCTTATCGAACCTTCGTGTCCTCGCTACTGGACAAACAACTACAAGTAGTGATCAAAACAAAATGTGTATGTATATACATATATATATATATGATCCAGGGACCTTTTGGGATCACTTCGTTGACCCCTTTGAATACCTAGTAGCCACGCAAACGAACATATATATATATATATCTGTCTGTCTATCTATGTCTTTGATCATTTGTAAATAGATGGCGATACACTTCCCACAGTGCAACCTCTTCCAAAGCGTCCCCCGCCCGCCCTGCATCCCACCCATCAGGCTCCGGCCATCAACCAACCCTTGCAACCTGTCCCTCCGGCCACAGGATGGCCCATCTTTCAGGGTGCGGCAGCCCATCCGACACCGGCTTCAGCACCTCCACAAGCCTCGCCACCGCCGCCACATGCAAGGCCATCCTACTATCCTGTCCAAACATCACAGCCGCCCCCAACCCAACTGGCTCCAGAATACACCACGCCGCCCACGAACACCACAGCCACTGCCACAGTCTTGCATCCCCTGCCACCGGGGTATTACGACACGCAGGGGCGCCCCCTGCCGCTCCATCTCCAAAACTATGAGCCGGAGCATGACCCCTGGCACGCCGACAACCACTGAACGCGCAGCATCTTTATGTCGGCCACAAGAGCCTCCCATTCCGAAGATGCATGTTACATTTCAACCCACCACGCAACCTACCCGAATCACCTACTCCATGACACTAATCTTCGGACTGCAGCCATCCACATTAAGGCCTCTACCAGTTTCACTACGCACCACGAAAAAACGCAAGGTGCTTTACGCCGACTGTTTTTCTGTTTTTGTTTCTACTTTCGTTTCGCACTCGCTTTATTGCGCAGTTCAGATTTTCCACTTTTCCTTGAACTTGCGGGTAGGCCACATGACAATCAACTTCACCACCTTTGCTCTCAGGATACATGTCTTTACCTTGTTTGCGCCTCCAATTTTTCAGCTTGCTCAAGCACCTACTCGCGATTGTCTTTACTCGAGTTCCAGCCGGCACTTCATCACCATGGACGCACAATGGCAACAGTATTACTGGAACCACTATTTGCTCCAGCAGCAGCAACAACAGCAGCTTGCTACCACAGAGGCCACTACCACCCATCCTCCTGCCAGCCATCACCCATACACCCATACAACCCCACTGGCACCTATGGTCCACTCACCCACGCTCTTCGCACACACCAGACTCACCATACACACCCATACACGCCACCACCGCAGCACACGCCTCCACAGGGGACTCCACCACAAGTGCCTCCGCCATCCAAGCCAGAGTTCCCACCTCCGCCGCCTCCACCACTACCTACCGCGGCTCCAGTCACTCCACCAGTTCGTCGTTCAAACACAGCCCACTGCCAGGAGCGGCCGCTGGCTCCGGATCTGCACCTCCCCCACCACCCCACATCCCTTCACCCAAGCCACCACTCCAGGAATCCTGGCACCAAACTGATCACCATTAAGACGCCAACACACTCCACGGCCACCAGCTCTACAAAACAATACAACCCACCCAATGGTCGCGCAAGGCAGGAGTTGCCGGCCTTCCAACATTCGACATCTTCCCCTGGCAACTTGCGTACCACGGCACTGCCGAGTACACCGCACGCACCCTTAGCCATGGGAAGTACACAGGCTTCATCGCCACTAGAAGTGTAGCGGAATCCGTTTTTGTCACACACCTCCTCCAGGAGATCCGGGAACAACGCCTGGACCTGGATGGCATCGCCGAAACCCTCCACACCAAACAAGGCACTGACGTCCCCAGCAAAACCACCCAGGCACGGGCTTTCCATGCCCCTTTGATCAACCTCCTCATCCAACAACTCCAATCCCATTCACCAGCACCTGCAGAAGGCACTGCCCTACGAGCCCTCAAGAACACCACCGACAAACTTGCCCGCGCCAAACAGAAGTTCCACAACCTGTGCAATCCCCTCACTCCTGTGAAGGGCACCAGCCACGCCACCGGCTCTGGCGAACCATCCCACCCACCAACTCCACCCGCACACAAGCCACCAGTTTTGGCCGATGTCCTGAAACCTCCACACCCATCTCTGAAGGATGACGCCCCCGATAGCTGGACCAACGCCGACATTCAACACTGGGTCACCACTTTTGACACCACCGTTCAGGAGGCCGCCAACGAAGTCCTCCGTTTGTTGCAAACAAGTAAAGTTACCACCCAGCAGTTGAAGGAAGCCGCTACACGCTACGGCCTCCCGCTCGGCCGCGTCAACCGCCTCCCTATTCGCAGTTTGCAACATCTGGTCAGCGTGGGGGCGGCCATTGGCTGCTGACTCGCTATTCTCAGCCAGCAGCAACCCAGCCACAACATCATGCAGCAACTCTTCCACCTCACAGTGCTCTATCCCTCTTGACCCACCACACACAATACATCGAACGAGCAGAGGCCATTTTTGCAACAGGCCTCATCCACATCACCTTACTCTTTGCCTACCCATCCACAACACACCGATCTCAACAATGGCGCAATCGGTTCCGCCAACTCCGTATTCTTCCCCATACCTATCACTACCACAATTTTTTGTCCCAGAATTCCGTTTACATCAAACTCCACTTCAACCCCATTCCACCACATCGCTGCTACCACCAACATGGCCATTTCTACGTCGGCTCTACAGCCATTGGCATCCCCCACAGAGAGCACAACCGCCGTGCCAAGCTCAAACAACTCCAGAACAACACCCCAATCTCAGCAGAACTATCCTTACGCTACTGGCATTCCCACAACAACATTCACCACTACACCACCATCCAGCTCACTTCCCACGACACCTATGATCAAGCATGGATCCAAGAACACCACCACATTGCCAATTGGATGCCCACACTCAACTGGCCTTTCATTTCTCACCACCTCAAACTCAAAGCCCAGGGATGGCAATTCACCAAACATCGCGCACACTTCTACTCCAGACTAGCCACTCACAAACGCCTCTTCCGACGACTGCGGCAACGCCAACATACCATCCGAGAGCCGCACCTTTACACTTCTACCAAACATCACGCTCTCACACTTCTTCGCAACCTCACCAAACACACAGCCGCCTCCTTTGAAGCAGCCAAACAACTGCGCAGCGGTCGCCACACCGATCTAGAAGTCTACGCCATCCGGCGTATGGCCGCCAATCTAGAAGAACCAGGCCGCAGCAGAGCTCTCCACATCATCCACAAAGCCCTCCTTTATCGCAACCTTACACCACCCAAACCGAACATCCCGCTAACAGTGCCTTTCTTGGCGCACGATGACTTTACCAAACACTGCCAACAATGGCTCCGTACCACCATCCCGCAGCACAAGCATTTGGCCATACCCCTTCACCTCCCATCCCATCGCATACGTGAAGCCGCTCACAAAACACTACGATCCCAGCTCCACAACCACCGGACCTGGGAAGACACTCTCCACTCACCACCTGATCCAGCAGACCTCCCCTGTGCGTGCAACCACCTTCGCACTCTCCTTCAAGATCCAGACACACCCACCACCAATGGTCACTACATCCTCACCCTGGACCAACTACAACTCCCACCACACCTCACCATTTTCCTCAACGCCAACATGAACAGCACCTACTACCCCAGCAAGGCCCGTTATTTCCTCACTTTCCAAACGGCCTACACGAAGTGGCTCAAGCTCCAAGGGCTACCACCATCCCTCCCTCGTACAGCATCTGGAACCTTTCCTCGCACACCAATGGCGCCTCCATAACACACATCTCAAACAACAACCCCGCTTTACAGCTCGTTTGCTCCGCCAACTCCAAGAACTTCTCGGCCCACACACAGTACTTCACCATGCTGACCATGAACTACAGCAACTCCGACGGTTCTGCCCCCGCCAATACTTCACCGGAGCTCCCAACACATGGCAATCCCCTGAACTTTTTGAACCACTTCTCCACCTTACAGCAGCCAACATCCACGACCATCTCAAGGCCACGGTCCCACCCATCCTCCGCACCCGCTACAAGTGGGGCTTCCGCAAGGATTTCAACATTCCTTATGGGGTGGTACACCTCAAGGAGAAAAAGCACTGGCAAAAAGGCCGCACTATCATCTCATACTTTCACTCCCTTACTGGCAACCTCCTACGTATCACCAGCCGTGCCTTTGACATTATCCTCCAGCACCTCTACCCGCAACATCCAGGACAACTTTCCATCCCACAACTCTGGCACCACTTCCACAGCTACCTCACAAATACTCCCGCGGACATCTCCCTGTACGCCACCAATGACGATTTGGTGGGCTTCTTCAACTCGGTTCCCCAGCATCGCTTGATCGATGCAGTCCACTCCATGATTCACCACTGGCAACAACAACAACAATCCACACACACCCTTACAGTGGACGTTCACGCCACCGGCAACCCCTTCCACCACTCTCACATTGGCCGACACCACCGCAAACATCCCACACAACGCACCATCCAGACCTCTGACATCACCACTATTGTTGCCTATGCACTCAACACCTGCATTTTCCGGGCTTGCAACAACACCTACAAGCAAATCCGAGGAGCTGGGATTGGCTCCCAGCTCTCTCCAGCCCTTTGCAATGTCGCGATCACACTCATTGAACACTCCTGGCACCAGATCCACAACAACCTACTTCACCACACGGACCTACACTTTACCTACTACCGCTACGTTGACAACCGTTTCATTGTCCACAATGAGCACTTCCACCACCCAGCCATTCAAACCCTTATCCA